ATTTCTTGAAACTTTTAATCTGAATCTTTCGGTCAGTGACAATGACTATATAGTCTGTGAGTTTGATAAAATCTTATACGACGGGTGTCGGGATGAGTATCAATGAAACGAGAAATCACACAGCCACATGTTTGCGATGATTGTGTATTATAGAATAGTCTGTTGTAGAAAACGTGTGAGCTATCGAATCACACATAATCAAGAACATTTATGTCATTGATTAGTTTTCTTGTAAATAAAATATTCTAAAATAAAATTTTAATGAAATAAAATTTGAAGAATTGAAAAATAGATAAGAAATTTTTCTTAGAACAAATATGTTTTAATATTGTTTTGTGTTTATCCCAATAAAACAAATCAGTCTATTAAATAGTTTTATAATTTTATTTAGATGTGATATATTATCTTTTCATTACAAATATTTTATCTGATAAAATATACTGAGTTTTTTATTTAAATAAACAGTAATTCGGTTAATTATGAGAAAAAATAAATTTGTATAACATTCAATTTATTTTTAAATTTTACACAATTTTCTTGGATTATTATTTGATAAAATTTTGTTTCTAGAAAAATAAATTTCTAAAACTATTTATTTGAATTTGATAGAATAAATCAATTCTTCTTCAATAGTTTAATTCTTCATTACAATAAAACATTTTGATTTTATCGATTGAATTCTTACTGAACAGTAAAAATGTTGTTGTTATTAAAAAGTATTCAGAATTCCACAATATCAGTCTCATATGTATCTGAAAGTCTCAGTGTGATATTTTCTTCTTCGTTCTCTTGTACATGTCAATATAGAACAAAAGAAATGATTTATATATTATTGTCACTTATAACTATGCTAATATGATCATAATTAGTCATCATGAAACATGATGAACAATTTTAAAACGATAATAAAACTATGACTTCAGTCGATTTTATTGAATGTGACATGATTCTGTGCAAATCTAATTCTTTTGTTTATGTATTCGCTCCTCATAGATTTTGTGTATTTCGATGATATTCATATTATTGAATAGTATTTGATGAAGATTCATTCTGAAGAGCAACAACTACACTTTTCTTATTATTTATCAAATCTGTGAAACAAAAGAATAAAATTAATTGTGCAATACATTTTTAATAGCAGACATTGCCGATATATTTTCTCTTTCAACTAAATATAAAATAACAAAAACATTCTGTTGTCAAAAAACTTCTATTTTATTGTTTAGGAAGTGTTGTATTTCCTTCGTAAAGACATGATTTGCGATGTATTCTTAACAAGAATAACATTATGTTGTGTTTGAAACACTTTGTTTTCACATCCTTCCTACAAACATTTCAATATCATGAACATTTTTATATTTACAACAAATAATCCCTGATATTTCATATTAGTTTTGAAAACGGAGACAGATTTATTGTTTTTCTTTATTGTGAAATTCAAATGTTGTATTTGCAGCAAATATTTCAACAAAAAAGAAAATTCCCATTGACGTCATTAGGTAGGCGAATGGAGAAAAAAATAAACCTTTTATTTTTCTTTTGTTCAGTTTTCAGCCAAAAAAAAATAGAGAAGACTTTTTTTATCATTTGAGTCAATTCTCATAGTTAATGATTGGAGAATGTAACTAAAAATAAATAACTTGTTTATATTCCATTCAATAGAAGACAAATATATCAATAAGAGATAATGATTTATTGATAATAACAAATGAGAAGATCATTTTCTCAATATTAATCATTAGAAATCAAATGAAATTCTTTTCATTTTTATTTCTTTTCTAGTTTTATAATTATATTTAGTAGAATCATCAACTATGTTCGACACTACTTAAATTATTAAGTATCAAGAAATGGATTCTCAAATGATATATCTTTCACTTTATTTTTATGTATTCATTTCATTTAAAATAAAGATAATAATGAGTGAATGATTCTGATGCTTACTGCATATGATCGGTTTAATATAGAATATTTATGATGAAACATCATATGTTGATGAAAATAATACCATCACTTTCTTCTTCCAGAACAGTTTTGAATAAAAATGTTATATCTATTGTAAATATCAAACTCTACGAGGTAGCATATGACATAAATTAATTCAAACAACAGTTAATATCATTATCTTTCCATATAAAAGAAACATTGAAAATCAGCACTTTTTGAAGGAAATGTAAAGTTTCCTGAGAAAAAAAAGAATGTATTTGAACAAAATATTTTATTATTTTTCATTCATTTCAAAGTCTATAGAGTTAAGCTGTAACTACGTTGTTAGTTATCAAATTATTGTTGAAAAGATATTGCATCGATAAAATAATTCAGTATTGCTATAACTGCTGTTTCTTTTATGTTCGCTTTCGCTACATAAATATTCAATCGCAAATTAACAAACAAGTCTGAAGTTTTGTTTCTCCAGTGAGAAAAATGATTAAAAGAACATAAATAATTTTGCGTAGTTTAGAGACTATTGAAAAATATATGTGATATCCAAAATCACCGACAGTCACATCTAAATGTAATTATTCAAAGAATCTATGTATATCATATGACTATGATTGTAATTAGAATCATGATTATAGTTTTCTTCAATGTTCTTAATCGACTTCCAATTAAAAAATCAATGAATAAGAAATCAAGAAACAATGCAAAGATAATCACAATGTTACTTTCATAATCATTTACTTATACTGTGAAATACTTGTTGCATACAAGAAAATCCAAATTAAAGATATTTCTAATCGTAAATATTGTCTAATTCTCAATTATTTCAGAAGAATCGTTGTCAATAGTGGAGCATTTTAACATCAGCTTCTTTTCTCTGTGAGAAAATGTTGCATATCCTTTGAACAGCGCTGATTTTTCAATATTTTATTAACTAATAATAATTACACTAAATATTGTCTCAAACAATTTCACATTTCTACGAGATAACAACTCTACCTGACAAGAGTTGTTGTTTTTTTGAAAATTAACATTGAAAAAGGAAGTGAGCTGATTGTTTTTATTGACATATGATGTTTTGTTAGAAATGTTTTACATTAACACAATAGTATACGTCAAGAAAAGAACTGATTAGTTAAGACAGAGTATGATAAATATTTTTTCTATTATTTCAATGATGTTCTAGTTGAAAATGGAATGAAAAACTTGTAAGTGAGAACAACAATATCTAAGTCTGCTTTTTGTGTCACCAGATTAATCGGTAAGGAATATTAGATATTACTTGAAATATAGATTTGAACAATTAATGAGAAACACAAATGATTTTTTGTGAAAAGATATGCAAATAAACAGTTTAGTTTCTTTACAATTATGTTATTAATGACTGAAAATCTATAAATGAGAAAATACTTTTGTCGATTTTAGATTGTAAAAGTATTAAACGTTCAACAAGATATCAACAATGAACAACAACAACCACAACAGAATAGGAGTTGTTGATGATGTAATTTATTGAGAAAAAGAAAAAACTATAAAATATAATATTTGTCTCTGTTGATTATTTTAGTCTGAAACAGTTACTTCGAATGCAACTCAACCAGAAACATTGTATGTATCTTATGAATTGTAGACAACAATAATCAAAAAGATTTCTTATTCTAGATGTGAATATCTGAAAAGAAGAAAAAAGGCGTGGATCACGTTTATTATTATTGTGCTTATTATAACAACAATGATTTCCATAGTTATCGTTAAAAGAACAAAGACAAACAGCAAAAAAATATCAACAACAGAAGAAATGAAAGTAACAACAGGTAGTTAAGATGAGACAATCATCTATTTTGAAGTTTATATATGATACATTATTTCAAATGACAGAAGTAGGACTTCATTGTTTATGATAACAACTTATACATCATAGTTCTAAGCAACGATATGAAAAGTTTTTCTGACATCCATAGTGGAATTTTTAGCATGTGAAAGAATATGTATTAAGAATAGTTCTCTGAGAAAATCAGATATCAGTAATAATTGGACATGTCAGGTTTCGTTCAATATTTTTTGTATGTTATAGATAGTAGTAACGTTAGTATTAGCTGAGATTTTCAGCTCGATTGTATTACTCCTTCCTACACGAATAAACACAACATGAGTGAAATTTTCGATATTTGTTTATGATTGATAGATTTGTTTTCTGTTCATCACATTCTCACACAAATTATCAGAGTTTATATAGTCTACAGAACACTCCATGTCTTACTGAAACGAAAATCTAGAAATTTTTCTCATCATAGGCCTTATTTAGTAATTTCAATGATTTCTGAGGGATATCGAGTTTCCTAATAAATTAAATTAAAGAACAAAACATCTAACTAAAGGCATCGCCGGAGAACAAACCTTTTTGAGTCGAACTGTTTGTTTTGAGGCTTATTTTACGAATTCTACTTTGAAAATATTCTAGTAAATGAAATCTCTGTGGGAGTTGAAATGGCCCTATTCAAACTAAAGAATCAATACTATCAAAAATTGCAAAAATAACAAAAAAAGATCCAGAGAATTATTCGATGAAATAAAATTGGCATTGACGTATTTCAGAAAGAATTTAATCAATATTGTATATAAATTTACAGCGTATTGCCCAAGAGGGTGTGAGTGTGGGTGTGGGTGATTGTGGGTGTGAGTAGTGTATTGTTTTCACATCTACACCCACACCCTAAATTTCTGGCCGGAATGTCATCTTGAATAAAAATGAAATATTTCAAGAACAATGGGAGTATACAAATGCTATATCAGTTAATTTCTACAATTCTGTAAATGTTTCATTATTAAACCTATAAAAAATGTAAAATGAGTTGTCAAAATTATTATAGTCGAGATGTAATTAACCCTCGTACTGTCAAGCCTGTTTTTATCACTGTATATTCCCTCAACAGAACGGACAAAAATGACCCTCATAGTACTACTAGGACTAAAGTAAAGATCATAGAATTACAATTATAATACAAGGCATCTCAGGATTTCCTGTGTTATTGTAATGCACTCATATTTATAGTCGATAGATGGTTGGAGAAAAAGAAGAAGAAGACGACGACGAAAGAAGTTAGGAATAAAGCCTTATGCAATCACTAAGTCTCTTTCTAAAGTCATTTTTGCAATTTAGAATCAACTACCACATCAACTTCAACAACAACGTTACCAACAACATCAACATCAACATCAACAACGTCAGGTTAGTAATATGCTGGATGATCTGAAATAGCCTAAACGATGAGTATCACAAATAACCAAGTCTAAAAGTTTTGATATTAGCTGTCCAGTATTCCTCATCTAGATTCAGAACATCAGAGAACTTTGTATGAGGGCTAGAAATAGGATCAAATTTTAATGAATTAATTTCATTTACGAATAGTCAAATATTGGATATGTCTATCGATTTCGACAGTATTATGCAAATATGTTGTCGATAAAATAGATTCTCACATGGTAGAATTCAGTGATCACTTTAGGAACTCCTCATTACATCGGAAAAGGTTGATAATGATGGATACTATGATTAAATAAAGTCAGATAGCGTCATCGCTTGTAAATATAGCATAGAAGATAATTGGAAATATCCATGAGTACTATCTTGCATCAACCAGATCATGTAAGAAATGTAATATTTATTGAGTCATCTTTGAAGACTTATATCCAGTGCTATTTATAGCTATCACTATTTCTCGTAGTACACTGTCAGCACGAGTCTATTAAAAGTACCATCTCTATCAATTACTCACATTAAAATTTAGGCAAACACGCATACTAAACATTTCTAGCTGATCATAGTTGCTTATTTGAGAACAGAAGTGAATCCAGGAAAAATCCTCTTTTATAACTGAAACAGTAGGTTTTAATCTATATTTATTCATGATATGGTCAGTTTTAATCTGATTTATCGGTATGATTATACACGTAGAAGTACCAGTTGATATGAACACCTAATCTCATGTTTCAGGTAGCGTTTATATAGAATCGACATGTTCAAAAGAAATTGTAGTTGGATAAAATACTAACTTAATACTCAAGAAACACATTTTTCATAAACATCGATTTTTTCATGAGAATGATGTGCGCATTATATACTCTCATGCACAGTCACATTCATTCCAGTGGCGAAGCCAGGATTTTGAGCTAGAGGACGGCAAAGGGTTCAGCCGCCGTAACCATTTTAGTGCATCTTAGGAAGTATTTTTTTCACTTTTTCACAGTAGGTTGGATAGAGCCCGTCGAGTTGAGTAAGAATTGGTCAGTTTTTATACTTTATCCAAAGTGCTGAAAGTTCCATTTTCTTGAAAAAAAATATTTAAAAAACTCATCTTTTAATGTTTTTTTCCAACTTTAGAGAGCGTTTACATTTCTTCGGACTATGAAAACAATATATTTAGATTTATCGTGAAAAACTGCATCGATCTGACCTTTTTTTGGTTATTCCTTAGTGAAAATATGCTTGTAAAATGTAAGGGATTCAAAAGTGAAAAAACATTAAGAAATGAGTTTTTTCTAATGGTTTTTTGAGGAAAATGAGTCTTTGAGCACTTTAGAAAAAGATCGAAATTTATCAACAAAAATCTTTCGAAAAAAATATAAAAACTGACACATTCCTACTCAGCTCGATGAGCTCTATCCAGCCATGTGTGCAAAAGCGAAAAAAACTTTTGGTATAATTTTGCATTGTTTGCACCTTACGTTATCGAATGAGTGAAATATGAAACTGAGAAATCTCTAGAATCTAGCTGAAGCTAATATTAAATGTGTTTTTATTTATTTAAAAAGTACTTATGCTTTCCAAACAACAAGGTATATCTCATAGAATATTCCACTAAAAAGAATAATAAGATTTTGTATTAGAAAAACATATTTTTCAAAATCTTGCTATGAGAGGGCGTGGTTGAATGCCCTCCTTCCACCGGCTCTGTCACTGACTTCATTTACAATTCAACTTCAGCAAAAAAACAAACTCAAAGTTTCATTGAAAACTAATCTTTTCTTTTATTTCGTCGATAAAAAACAGTTTTCTTCTTCTTCTTCTTTTCATCAAAATCTTTTGTTTTCATTCTTTTCTAGAACCAAAATTCAACAAATGGAAACAAGATGGCATCACTGTGGCTGGTGGAAATGGAGAAGGACAAGAATTAAATCAACTCAATCTCCCTACTCAAATCTTTATTGATAAAAACAAAAATATTTTCATTGCTGATCACGATAATCATCGTATTGTTGAATGGAAATATAATGCAAAAGAAGGACAAGTCATTGCAGGTGGAAATGGGCAAGGAAATCAAATGAATCAATTGAGTTGGCCAATAAATATAATTGTTGATCAACAAAATCATTCGATTATCATTGCTAATTATGCGAGCAAACGAGTGATTCAATGGATGAATCAAAATCAACAAATTCTCATTGAAAATATTCGCTGTATCGGCTTGGCAATGGATAAGCATGGATTTCTTTATGTTTCTGATGTTGAGAAGAGTGAAGTCAGACGATGGAAAATGGGAGAGTATAACAACGAAGGAATTGTAGTGGCAGGTGGAAATGGAAGAGGAAATCAACTCAATCAATTCATTTGGCCTACTTATATCTTTGTTGATAAAGATCAATCTGTTTATGTATCAGATAGAGATAATTATCGTGTGATGAAATGGAGAAAAGATGCAAAAGAAGGAAGAATTGTGGCTGAAGGAAATGGTATGGGAGGAAATCTCAATCAATTGTTTTATCCAGACGGAGTAATTGTTGATGATTTGGGTCAAATCTATGTGGTAGATCGTGGGAATGCTCGAGTAATGCGTTGGCGTGAAGGAAAAGAAGAAGGTGAAATTGTTGTTGGTGGAAATGGTCAAGGAAATCAACCAAATCAATTATATCACCCCTGTGGTTTATCTTTTGATGATGAAGGAAATCTTTATGTTGCTGATGGTAGAAATCAGCGAATTCAAAAATTTGAATTAATTTAGTGAATGAAATTTTTTATTGAATAAATAATCGAGAAATAAAAGAAAAAATACAGTTTTATTATTGAAAATCAATGAAAGAAATCAGTAAAAGTTTGAAGCAAAAGACATATTTTGACAAAACAACGAAGAAAATTTTTTTGGGTTTTTTTTTCATGAAAATTGAATTTAATTTGATAGTTTTGATTAAAAAATTCAAATAAATAAATGTTAAATTCTTCGTCTTTTGTTAGTTTTTGTCGAATATTACAGAAGGAAAGAAAATATTTTGTAGTTTGAATTGAATTGAAATAAAAATTATTTGAATAGAAGTTTTTGTATCTTAGAAAATTCTATTTGAATATTTTTATTTTTGATGAAAATAATCAAATTGTCTAAAGCTGAAGAGAAAAGAAATATTTTACAGAAATTTGATTGTAATGTATTTTACTGAATAAAACAAATGTTGAAAAGATTTTTGTTTAATAAATTACCAAATTTTATCATTTTTCAATTTTATTAGTTCGATTTTAAAAAATTAGTTAGTGAAAATTGAAGTGAAAATTGATTTGGCAAAATAGAATCAATAAAAATAAATTTCAAGATGAATCGATGAACATTTTCATTTAAATGAAAAGCAAAAACAATAATTACAGAAGAAAAATGAACAAGAAATTGAAATAAAACAAAAACGTTGATACTAAATATTATGAAATGATCCAAAATTTAACTTTGATTTTTGATATAAAAGAGATTTGTTTTATTTTTCAAAGACAAATTGAATTCATTTCAATTTCAAATGAAAAAATTCAACATTTTCTTTATTTTTGATTTTGAATAAAAAGTTTCTATGAAAAATGATTTAAATTCAATTTTCTTTTTCATTAAATAAAACCCAAATTATTGATAACTCTCAAATCAATGAAGTTTTTTGTGACAAAATATTTGTTTTTTT